GCGCGGCCGGTCTGTATGTGGGCCCCGACCCCTCGGCGGGAGCCCCGCCGCACTCCCAAGTGGCGCACTGTAGCAGTGCGCCACCGGGCCGGCCCAGAATCATTAACTTTTTAATGATGAATTTTTTTTACAGTTGAGAATCAATTTGGTATTATTATTATTTGTGAATGCTGGCCTTATATTTTTCACTTTTATTTTTACCAGTTTTGTGCTGTATTGTTTACTTACATTTAAGGGGCAAAGCATTTATAAAACATTGATTTACATACTTTTTTGAAATTTTATTTCTGTATTTTTAAATCAGTATCAGATAACTCAGAAAAACAAAATGGGGAACTTTCAAAGTAAGTAGGAGGCAAGCTGGAGCTAAGCTTCTGATGGGCTCCCATTGATTTGTGGATTTCTGTAGGGTCCTTGTGCCAGACAGATAAATTGTTGCTATGCCTTCAGGGGCTTTTCTTTTTGATTTCTGTATTTCCCCAGTTGTTTTAGCTAAATAAATCTCCTAAATGTGCTTTATACTAATATGATGTATCAGTGATTTTCTGGTTTTTTTTAAACACAGACTAACAAAAAAACTTGAAGAAAGGAGAGAAGAGAAAAGGAAAGAGGAAGAACAGGTGAAGTTCATGCACTTAGCATTGTTTTACTCCTCCATTAAGCGAAGGAATGTTTGTCATTTGGCTTCCTACTTATAATTCTGTGTTGAGGCATAGTGAAGGAAGTTAGGATCATAGTGTATACTAAGTTCCTTTTATAAATTGCTTGGAATAAATTAAACCGTCTTTTTTCCGTCTGCATTGAGTCTTTTACAATAATAAGACTAAAAATAAGAGTGATAATAAGAAGAATAATAAGGGGACTTGAGTTAAAATTTTTGGCTTGAGGCACATGATCAAGTTTCTAGCTCGTTTTTGTGGAAAAGAAGTGTGTAGACATTCTGCTGAATTTTTCCTCTCACTTTACCATGTTCTGGTGGACCATTCATTTTTTCTCATTGTGTGTGCCTATAACTGTGCCTCATTTATTTGGGGTTCTAATATAGGAAGGTTATCATTTTCTTTGACCCAAATAAATGACGGCCATGTTGTCCCTGGAGGAGAATCTGTTTACCCTAGAAACCAAAGACTTGTAATGCTGCTTGCTTTCAAATTACACTAACTACATTATAATCTTAACAGAACCACTAGCAAAGATTTATAAATTGATACACACATGACCATTAACCATGATGTTAATAAACTCTACCAGACCCTTATATTTTATGAAGTTTTATTCTTTTAACTGCATCCTACATTCAGCTTTCCCTATATTCAAAATAATATCCGGGGCAGATTATCAAATTATGTTTTGGGCTCATAACTTACTTTCTCTTTAAATTAGAGAGAGATTAAGAAGGAAATTGAGAGGAGAAAAACTGGAAAAGAAATGTTGGATTTTAAAAGAAAACAAGAAGAAGAATTAACAAAAAGAATGTTAGAGGAAAGAAACAGAGAAAAGGCAGAGGATAGGGCAGCTCGAGAGCGTATAAAACAGCAGATTGCATTGGTGAGTCTTATGTTTATTTTTAATGCTTGACTCTAGGACATTTGTGATATTGTTTTCCTTTTGTGATATTGCACAGTGACTTGATTACTACCGGACACTGCATACAAAAATAGTATATTTTAGTGACTCAAATAAAGAATACCAATCCTGACCTTCTTTTTATTAGAAATTGTATGTTGAATTAAAACACTTAAAATTAAGATGAGTTTTTTCAAAGTGATCTACCTCCATGCTTCATTATGTTATGCATTTTATCAGTAGTCAAAAGGCAGCTGTATTAGTCTGTTTTGTGTTGCTATAACAGAATACCTGAAAGTGGGTAATTTATAAAGAAAAGAGGTTTATTTGGCTTGTGATTCTGGGATAGCTGCATCTGGCATGGGCCTCGGAAGGAGGGAGGGGAGGAGGGGGGTCGTGTTGCTATAACAGAATACCTGAAAGTGGGTAATTTATAAAGAAAAGAGGTTTATTTGGCTCGTGATTCTGGGATAGCTGCATCTGGCATGGGCCTCGGAAGGAGGGAGGGGAGGAGGGGGGTCGTACCAGGTTCTTTTAAACAACCAACTGTCACAGGAACTAATAGAGCGAGAACTCACTCATTCATGAGGGCACACCTGCCCAGGGAGAGCATTAATCCATTCATGAGGGATCTGCCCCCATGACCCAAACCACTCCCAACATTGCCACATTGGGGGTCAGATTTCCACATTAGTTTTGTGGGGACAGTAACATCCAAATTCTATCGGCAGCTTTCAGAGAGTCCCTAGGAAGTAAGCTACGAATTGGTTGCTTGGCAGTTTTCTGTAGACACAAGTATTCTTACCTGGGACATTCAAAGGCTTCAGGCACATCATTAAAGCTTATGATGGTTTTGCAACAATTGCTTTGAGTTAAGCAGTTGTAGCATATGAAAACCATCCCTACCACAATATCGTTCGTTTGGTCTTTCAGCAAATATTTATTGAGCATCTACTATGTGGCAGACCTTGTTCTGGGCTCTGGAGATGCAGTAATGAGCAAAGTCATGTCCTTGATTTTTTTTTTTTTCTTTTTCCTTTTTTTTTGTGGCTGGTTGGTATGGATATCTGAACTCTTGACTTTGGTGTTATAACAGTGCTCTAAATGAGCTAACCGTCCAGCCCTCCTCTACTCCTTTCTTTAATATAAATAACTCTGATCCCTGACAGTTGATAAAATGAAAAAATACGTGGTCCAGAATGATAAAGTTCAGGTATGGCTTTAAGGAATTGCATAGATCCTTGTGTTTGTTCCTTGTGTGTAGGAGTGTGTGAATAGTTCATTCTGGCAGTGAAAGATAATTGGTATCTAATGATGTTTTAAAGGACCGTGCAGAGAGAGCTGCTCGCTTTGCAAAGACAAAGGAAGAAGTAGAGACAGCCAAAGCTGCTGCCTTGCTGGCCAAACAGGCAGAGATGGAAGTCAAGAGGGAAACTTACGCAAGAGAGAGAAGGTGGTATATTTCATGCTGAAATGTATGTGTGCACATAGGACTTAAGGAGGACGATTGTGGGCTGGTTTTTAATACTAATGTGTAATGCAGTTATAGTAAACAGTCAATTCCAGAAAGACGTATTGACCAGTTTGGCAGCTGCCATTGATATTTGTCATTGAATGTGAGTGTAAACCATAACAGTACTAAATAAGTAACTTTTAAAAGAGGACCCAAGAAATCCATTTTCAGAAGGCAGAAAGCACATACATCAAAATAGTTACAGTGATTATGTCATGTGTATTAGCATTCTTTTTTAGTGTCAGAATCCCAAATCATTTAGGGTTAAGCAAAAGAGGAGGGAATACAAGGGCTGGCGCGTGGCTCACTTGGGAGAGTGTGGTGCTGATAGCACTGAGGCCAAGCATTCGGATCCCTATATAGGGCCAGCCCGTGGCTCACTTGGGAGAGAGTGGTGCTGATAGCACTGAGGCCAAGGGTTCGGATCCCTGTATAGGGATAGCCGGTTAGCTCACTTGGGAGAGCGTGGTGCTGACAACAGCAAGTCAAGGGTAAAGATCCCCTTACCAGTCATCTTTAAAAAAAAAAAGGACTACATTGACTCTGCAATTCAGAAATCCATTGGTAGGTTTAAATAGGGATAGCTAGGTAAAGGATATCATTACAAATTTTCTCTCTCTATAGTATCTTGTTTTCTTCTGTTTTAGCTTAATTCTCAGTGAAACTCTCCAAATGGTGTCAAAGTTACCATATGATCTTGAGTTCATGATCAGAGAGAGAAAAGATTACTCTTTTTCTCAATGCCTCTCTCAGTCACTGAGTAGAATTCTGAATGGGCTCTGCTTGGGTCATATGGCCACCTCTAGACCAATCAGAGTGTTCACTTGTGCAGGCTCTCTGGCTGGAGTAAGTGACATGCCTACCCCTGTGGTGAAGGAGATGGGGGAAATATTGATAATCATATCAGAATGAGTGACATGTAGCAGGGGTAAGGCAGTTCCCAAAACAAAAATAAATTTAATAAAAGTGTGAAACTTGTACATTACAAGCTACAAAACATTTTTGAAAGAAGAGCTAAATACACAGATACCTTATGTTCATAGATCAGAAGACTTAATATTGAAAGGATGGCAAAAACTCCCTGACCTGATCTATAGATTTAATATAGTCCCTATCAGAATTCCAATTGTCATTTTTTAGCAGAAATTTTAATCCTAAAATTCATACAGAAATTCAAGAGATCCAGAATAGTCAAAATAATCTGGAAAAAGAACAAAGTTGGAGGACTCACACTTGATTTTAAACCTTACTACAAAGCAACAGTAAAACCAAGATAATGTCATACTGAAATAAGGATGGGCTTATGATATGGATCAGTGTAGTAGAAGTGAGTCTCCAGAAAGAAACCCTTGCCTTTATAATCAATTTTTGAAAAGGGTACCAAAACCATTCAATGGGAAAGAATAGTCTTTCCAACAAATGGTTGGACAATTATCTGTCTACATGGCAAATAAATGAATTTGGACCCTTCACACCATATAAAAAATTAACTCAATGGATCAGCTACCTGAATGTAAAACTATGAACTATGTAACTTTTTTTTTTTTTTTTTTTGGTAACTGGCTGGTATGGGGATCTGAACTGTTGACCTTGGAGTTACAACACCACACTCTAATCAGCTGAGATAACTATGACCAGCCCAAACTGTATAAATTCTTTCCTCCCAATTTTTTTTTTCCTTTTCTTTTGGGCAGCCGGCCAAACCCTTAATCAGAACCCTTGACCTTGATCAGAACCCTTGATCTTGGTGTTATAACACCATGCTCTAAACATCTGAGCAAACCAGCCAGCCCCTTGTATAAATTCTTAGGGACAAGAAAAAGGAGTAGATCTTTGTGGTTTTGGAATAGGGAATAGACATGACATCCAAAGCCCAAGCAACAAAAGAAAAAAATAGATAAATTATACTTCATCAAAATTTAAAACTTTTTTTTTCCTTGGCAGCTGACAGGTGGTTCAGGGATCCAAACCCATGACCTTGATGTTTATGAGGCTGTGCCCTAACCACCTGAGCTAATTTGCCAGCCTAAAATTTAAAACCTTTGTGCTTCAAAGGACATCATTAAGAAAGTAAAAAGACAAGCTATAGAATTAGAGAAAATATTTGCAAACCATATATTCAGTAAGGGACTTGTATCTAGAATGTAAAAAGAACTTTTACAACTCAACAATCAAAACAACCCATTTCAGATATGGGGAAAGGATTTGAATAGATCTGTCTCCGAAGAAGGAAATATTTGTATTATCTTTAAATTCTATTTTTCCACAACCTTTCTGAAGTACTCTCGTATACATATGGCCAATCAGCACATGAAAAGATGCTCAACATCATTAGTCATTAGGGAAATGAAAACCACAATGAGATGCCATTTCACACCCACTAGGATGCCTAAATTTAAAGAAACAATAACGTGTTGGTGAGGATGTGGAGAATTTGGAACCTTCCTATGTTACTGGTGGGAGTGTAAATGGTGCAGCCATTTGGAAAACAATTTGGCAGTTCCTCAGTATGTTAAACATAAAGTTACCATATGATCCAGAAATTCCATTCTTAAGTATATATCCAAGAGAATTGAAAACATGTCCACACAGGGACCTGTACATGAATATTCATAGCAGCTGTATTCATAATAGCCAAAATGTAATAATCCAGATGTCTGTCAGCTGAAGAACAGATAAACAAAATGTATATCCTATAGAGTGGAATATTATTCAGCGACAAAAAGGAATGAAGAACTGATATATGCAACAGCATGAAGGAACTTTCAAAACAAAATGCTGCATGAGAGAAGACACTTCCAAAAGGTCACATATTGTATGATTCCATTATATGAAATGCCCCAAATAGGCAAATCTATAGAGACAATAGATTAGTGTTCCCAGGGGCTGGGGGAAGGAGGATTAGGGAGAGACTGCTAGTGGTTTCAGGGTTCCTTCTTGTGGTGATGAAAATGTTTTGGAATTAGATAATGGTGATGGTCACATAACTCTAATATATTAAAAATCATTGAATTGTGTACATTAAAAGGTTGAGTTTTGTTATGTGAATTCTCAATAAAGGTTTTATTAAAAAATAATACATGAAAAGATCTCACATTGTGGGGGAAAAAATCTATTGTCATTGCACATTTTCGTTTCCATTTTCTCTTTTAATGATATTGTTGGAGAATACGTAGAGGTAAAGATGCTGATGTTAGGGCTGGCCAGTTAGCTCACTTGGTAAAGTGTGGTGCTGATAACACCAGGGTCATGGGTTTGGATCCCTGTATAGGCCAGCTGCCAAGAAAAAAAAAGTAAAAAAAAAAAAAAGAAAAAGATGCTGACTTTAATTTTCTTTTTTCATAGCACTATTGCAAGAATTCAATTCCGTCTTCCTGATGGTTCTTCTTTTACAAGTCAGTTCCTTTCTGATGCTCTTCTAGAAGAAGCCAGGCAGTTTGCTGCACAGGTATATTTAGGTGTTGAGTTATAGTAAAGATTGATATGTAGGTTATTAAATTGTAGGAAGGAAAAATTTCAAAGCAGAACTTGAAGAATGTGAGTAAATCATGACTTATCTCCAGGAGGGAGGCACAAGACACCTCTGAGATATTGTGGAGCTTCTGTTGTGTACTTGTGTGTGTGAACAGCATATCTGCTTGTTGTGCAAAAATAGGAGTTTGCTTATATTGTCCAATAGGCTCTGGAAAATTTTCTCGCTGGTCAGTAGACTCAGCTGGAGGAGTAAAAACAAATGGTTTCCCAAATGTCTAATCTGAGGGAGTTGTCCCAT